TGCCCAGGCTCTCCCGCAGCCCCCAGGTCAGCAGGGCTGTGCTGGGGCTCCTGACAGCGCCGCTCGGCTGCAAGGCAGAGTACCAACCCGTTATCTTGTAGACTTTACTGAGGGCTTTGTGCTTTACCTTATCTCTTGCAGTCATCTTTACTGAAGGTGTGCATCGCTGCACACCAAAGGAACTGCCTTTGGAAAGCTGAGCAGTGACCTGCAGAGGGAAGGCGGTTGTGGTGTTGCTTCACACGGCCTTTCCAACAATCAAAGGGATTGACAAGGTCCAGGAGCTTTCTTCAGGGCAGAAAGGCAGGTCTTGTTTGCCCTGGCAGACAATCGCCTGGTTTCATCGTTGTACTGCTCCTCAGCCTAGGACAAACCAACTGAAACTGAAGTGATTCTCAGGGGAAAGGTATTTTAACCAGAAATTTTTAAGCCTATTTAGTCCTGTTCTGATGAGTGTTTTGAAAGAAGCTGTTTTTTTTTTTTTCCCTGAATGCCAGTCTTCCAGAAAAGCTCCAGCAAAAGTGACAGGATAGCAAACAATTCCTGGAATTTCTGACTACTCAAACTCCCCTTGTTCAGCCCTCTCTGACCCTTCCAAAGAAACTAACTGTCCCAGGGAAGCACTGGGTCCCCTCCACTGGTCATCCCCACTTCCCTTCAGGTGCTGCCTGGTTCGGGCGATGGGCAGTGGGACAGGGCAGTGTGCAGTGACACAGTGGAAGCAGCCATCTGCTCTCAGAGTCACAGAGTAACTGAGGTTGGCCAGGACCTCTGGAGACCATCTGGTCCAGCCCCCCCTGCTTAAGCTGGGCCACCCACAGCCACCAGCCAGGACTCTGTGCAGATGGCCTTTTGAGTATCTCCAAGGATGGAGACTCCACAACCTCTGTGGGCAACACAGAAGCCCACTCAGTTCTGATCCCTCCAGCGGAGGGAAAACACAGACCAGTGCCATTTGGAGATGTGCCTCTCATCACTCCTCTGGAGAGGGTTTTCTCTACTCTTACCTGTTGTTTTACTCAGTCAGGTAGGTAGATGGTGGCAGAGGTCATGCTCACTTGACACTAGGCTGGTTGTTTTTTTCTTCTGCTGCCCAAGTGTTTGATTCCCAAACTGGAATTCTCTCCTGCCCTCTGGCAGGATAGCAAAAGGATGGAATCTGGGAAAGCTGGTTCTGCTGTAAATCACCCTTTAGCTGTTCTTCCTTCCACAGCCACGCTCCTGAACTCCTAAAATTGTCACTGTCCCTTCTCCATTTGCTAGGTTTGCCTTTTCCTTCAGCCTTAAAGGTCTCTACTGTAGCATCTTCTCAGCTTTCAGCCTTGCACAGTGTGTTCACAGTAACACAGGGATGGTGGAGCCCTGTTATTTGTCCTCTTGCTCTGCTCTTGAGGGTAGGGACAAGGCATAAACTCCTGCTGCGTCCTGTTCTCACCACTGTCAGGAGCCCTCGTGGAGTAAGGATGCAGTTGCAGCTGGGCTCTCTCACTTGCACTAGTTTGGGCTAGAATTTGAAATTTGAAGCAGTTGTCTTTGCAGCAGGGGATGGCATCACGTGGGGCCTCGTAACGCCAAGCACAGAGCGTGCGCTCACGCGAGTGAGGTGACACGGGGCACTTTCTCTTCCTCTATCTTCTGTGGGGAATTGGCCGACTCACAGGTGCAATTCTTTTTTCTTCCTGCACTGTTACACCCTTTGTAACCCCAGAGTGGTGCACTTGGCTGGCTGACTCGCAGCACTTCAACTGAATCATATTTTTCATTAGTATGGACAGGGGTGAAGCTGAATTACTAACCTGGGTCTTGGGACTGCATCCGATTTAGCTGCTGGGAAAGCGGAATCGAAGGGAGCAGCGTTGCTGATGCAGAGCACAGTGGGGAAGGGGCTCTCTGTTCCCATCCTCCTCACACAGGACACTTCTCCTGAGCACCACTGGCCTTGGGTCAGCGACACAGTCAGACACACCCATGGTGACATCCCATCAGGTGTGCTTATGCAAGAGTTTATGGCACACGGCTCTGTGGGCAGCAGAACTAAACCCCACACACAGCGCGGTGGGGCAAGAGCTGCAGCACAGCTGAGCAGCCCGGCCCTGGAAGGCAGTGGGGTGGGAGCAGGTGGGAGGGTTACACTGTGCAGGGCAAAGAAACCCAGAGCCTGGTGTCGGCACCGCTTACCTGAGGTGGGCTACCCAGCTGGCCAGCACAGAGCTCAGAGGCAGCAGCAGCTGTGACAAGCACTAATTAATCCAGAAGATTTTTTTTTTTGCAACCACACCAGGCTGCTGTCTTCTCTTTAAACACTCAGCCCAGCCCTGCTGCTCATCGGTAGCTGGCAGGAAAACCGACGGGCAGCGACGACAGCTCACTGAGAAACCTCCTGCTTCAGAGCGAGTGGCCCCAGCTAGCGCGGATGGGCACTGGGGTTGCACTCCAGCTGCCTGCAGTGTAGAGCAAAACCTTCAGCCTCTTTCCTGGGGGTAGTAAATAAGAGGTTACGGGACACCTGACTTATCCAGACGGTAAGAAATGTCTGTTCCAGAGCAGCTGATTCTTCCAGCTCTGTCTGTTGTGCACGGGGGGGTAAAACCTGAGCAGCTCGGCACGCTGTGTGTATCAGTAGTGACCTCACTGAGGGCAGGAATGGATTTAAATTGAAACACGTTAATCACCAATCACTCTACCAGTGTTGTCAACTGTTTTTGTTTTTAATTGTTATTGTAATATATTTTGGTTGTTTTTCTAATTTAATTCTCTCACTATCGTCTGACTGTGAACTGCGAACAGTGTTAAACTTGATGTAAATAAGGCCCTTTGAAGGGTCTCTTTGCCTGTCGTTCCACAAAGTTTTGCCAATTTGCATTTTGTTTTAAATAAAGGTTGCAATATTTTATTGGCAAAAAAAAAAACCCCACAACCCACTTCAGTGTTTGTTGCTTTTTTTTTTTCTTAAGGAATATTTGAATCTGCTCAGCACTAACCTGAAGTTTGTTGTTTTGGGAAGATTATTATAAACCTGTTAAAAAGGGAAATCATTTAATTCTGTCAGATTGCAAAGAAAAGCAGGATCTTTATTTACACTTTTGAAATCAAACTTAATGTTGCTGTGGAGTGGTCAGGGGAGA